ATTTCGCCTGGCGGTTGGGGCAAACCTCTTGTTCCCAGTTACAGGTTTCTTTCCCAAGCGGCGGTTGTCTCTGATCTGGGTAAACCGCGATCCAGATGCGGCTGTCCTATCTACCTGGTCCTGCTCAAGAGCCTGAGCTTTATCATAGATGTCTTCATAGGTTCTCAGATTGGATGGTATTAACAGGGTACGAATGTCAGGTCTCAATCCTTCACGAAATTTTCGCGCCTTATCCTCGGGATGTTCCACCATCCTCGGCGCAAACTTAGACAATCTAGCAAATTCCGCCTCATACTGATCGACAGTCATCTGACCCTGGCGGAGTCGCACAAATTCTGCTATCTTCCTTTCCCTGGCACTATCCGAGAAGTATTTCCCATAAAAATTTTCAATAAACACGGCCCAAGTCTGGGCGATACCTTCCGGAAATACTCTTCCCTTGGTGGCCTTCCACCAATCACTCGCATTATCCTGCAACTGATAAACGGCTAGGGTCACTTTCTCCTGCTCGGTGCACCCCAACACCTCAAACGCCTTTTCCAGTTCCTCTACTCACTTCGGTGCAGCCTCAGGGTCACCTTTTCCCGTAAACTTAGGCGGCTTCAATTTCATAAATTGCTCCACTAGATGGGGCATCAGTCTAACCCCTGCTGGTTGAGCCTGCCCTGGATTGGCCTGATTCCTTTCATTTCCAGCTATCGGGGCGGCCTCAGCTGCCTGGGCATAAGCTGCGGCCCTTTCCTGAGCCTGCAATCCCATAACACGCCCTATCTCCCGTAGGGTATTCATTACCTCATCAAACCTGGGATCTCTAGCCTCACGGACTCCCTCGCTAGCCTGGGCTTGGGGCTCCTTCCCCCTTCTCCTACTTGGAGCTTGAATAATGTCCTCTAGTCGGCGGTCTCGGCCCTCTTGGCCTTCTGAACTAGGCTGACCTTGGGGTTCCTTACCCTTTCTTCTACTCATATTGCTACCTGGCTATACACTACCTGCTATAATTCCATCAAGGAATTAAAGACTTAAACCAATCTATCCTAGTCTAAGTCCTAGGCAGGTATCAAACAACAATAAAACAATCAACATGCGACTTAATAAGAACCAATCAACACATCACCCAAGGAGTTCGAGTACTCACCTCAGGTCCTGCCGCACCTGCACTTTACGGGTCATACCAGTAAACACTCAATCAAACACAACTGTCAGGAGATGCATGTAGCACACAAGGTCACCCTACTGGCTACCCATGGTCTCATCGCTCCTTATCACTCCAGGCTTCGACCAGATTGGACCGAGCTGACCTTGCTCTGATACCAATTCAAACGGGGATGTCACGCCCCGTACCTCACGAGGCGCGAGCATCCCATCTCCGGTCGTTTGTGATGCAACGCTCCCAGAATGCATCGCCGACCCAACGCCCAATCAGAGATAAGTCACATGCGGAAACAACGTATATAAATATATATATATACACCCGTACAAAACAACACACGTGAGACCAAGGTAGAACAGCCATCAAACAAGAATATACACTTGTACTGTTATAGAAAAACCTTTTTACACTATCCATTTGTACAACTCCAAAAACCTCAACATCAGTATTTAACTGCCACTATATCAAAAAGGGTAAGTGGCACAGGTGGTTAGGCTAACTAGGATATGAATGCTATTCAAAAAGAGACGGTCTTCGCTTCCCAGGGTACCGGCCTGCTCTAGGGCTCCCAGTCAGGGTCAAACGACTCGGTAGAATCATCTGGCAACTCCTCGGAGGCATCTTTACGGCTGGGGGTCTGAAAAGTTTCGGTTTACACAACCGTGAGACGAATCTCAGTGAGTTCAACCCCTAAACCTAGGCTAGGCTAGCATGCAATCTCCTGACCGGAAATAAATATTTGAAACCATAATGCAACAACAATCAAATAATTCTCTGACCCTGCAGGTTAGGCAGTTCAATATATAATAATCACGACACGTACGTGGCACACATTATCACACGTACGCCAATCACATGCTCATGCACCGAGTCTCACATACTCGCATGCCAGTCCATGCATGTTCATGCATGCAAATGTCGTCGACATGTCACGTATATTTCCCGGCCCACTGGCCCACACTGGCACACTGACAATCGCCCAATTTATTATTTATTACGACTCGAGTCAACAACATTCACGGCCCGGTGCGTCTAGCCTGCTTCAAAGTGCATGAGACGCAGCAACCGATCTGGCCCAGTGTCTCTAGCCTGCTTCAAAGTGCATGAGGCGCAACACCGATCTCCTTACGAACCAGAGCCTGCTTCAAAGTGCATGAGGATGATCGTCTTCCGAACGTATCGAGCATCGTCTTGCTTCAAAGTGCATGAGGACGGTATCGACCCGAAGGTCATGACCCGAAGGTCCTTAGGTGATCACACAACTCATTGTTATCTGAACCCAGCGTATGACGCTTCGGGGTATTTTAGATGATCACACACTCATGGCAGGTACGCGTTCTCGTACAATTCCACCACATGCCTCACTCTAGGCATACATAATGCGTGTCCATGTTATGCGATGCAATGCACCATGAGCACCAATGAAATTCAATCACTCAATATCACAACACGTGCTCAATTGGCCCAATTAATACCGTGTGGCCCAACGTGCGATTCACAATTCAATAATTAATTGCAAACCAATCATTGGCCAATCGCACCCCACATAATTCAGCCACACGACATGCGACATGGTAGTACGAAATCAATCACAATTAAGCACAAATTATGTACAACCAGTCAATCCGGACATACCCGGTAATTTTCCAATGGGCTCCTAAATTGGTCATTTAATCCAATTAATGTCCCCAAATAATTCTCATTAATCCACTAAATTTTCCCAATAATAATTTCTATCAATCAGTCCTCATCCCAGTCTGAAATATACATTGATACTACCTAAGCCAGTCCAAAAATGCACCAATAATACCTAAACCAGTCCAGAAAAACGCACTATCAGTCCTAATCCGGGTTCAGGAATTTTACTCACTTAATTCAAGGTCACGACGATGGGAAACGGCGGTCGATCACTGGTGAACAGTGAAACCGGCGGCGGAATTTCCGGCGACGGCGTACGGACGCGTGAACAGTGACCGTACGGACGGGGGTGAACAGTGCCGACCGTACGGGACACTGTACGGGGGGGACGGGTACGGTCTGCGTCGTACAGCGTGCTGGACGGCTGGGTGGCGACGGAACGGCGATCCGAGCTCTGGCAAAGCTCTGGTGGCCCTATTTGCCAGACGGGAAAGAGAGAAAAAGAGGAAGAAAGAGAGAGAAATAGAGAGAGAAAGGGGCCGGACAAGGGTGAGGCTGAGGCTGGGGGCTGAGGTGGTCGGCAGTGAGGCACGGTGGCCGGCGGTGGTGCTCCGGTGGCCGGCGGTGAGCTCCGGCCAAGCTTGGCCGAGAGAGAAATTGAGAGAAAGAGAGAGAGAAAGCTGCTGGTGGGTGGTTCTGCCGATGGGGGGGATAGAGGAGAGAGAAAGCAGTCCAAGCTGGTCAAATACAGCAGCTTAGGGGCGCCACGTGTCGCCGATCCGCGCGATTTGACCAAAACGCCCCTAATCTAACGGTTCTAAATAATCCTAATCTCATAATGGACGGGCAAAAAGGTCAATAGCCCCAATAATGCAGCTGATAATCATCAATAATTATCCCAAATAATTTCCCAAAAATTTGGACCCGAAAATAGCCCAGGGGCAAAACCGTCATTTTTCCGGTCCCGGAGTGAAGTTCCATTTTTCGCCCGTACCAACCCTCCATGTGCGTGGCCAACATAATATGGCGTCGGAATCGCGAAAACAGCCCTTTAAGCCCTCGAAAATCGACTGCAAAGTTTCGTGAATAAAATAATATTATTTTTCCAATTTTTGTTGAAATTCCAATTTTTGGCCATAACGACTCATGGTATGTGTGGCCACCCAAAAATGGCATCGGCCTCAAAAAATAACCTCATTTGGCCTCGAAAAGCAATGCTGGCGTCACGAGGGGCAAAATCGTAATTTTTCACCCTCGGACCGAAATTCCAATTTTCAACTGTACTAACTCAAAATATGTGTGGCCAGCATAATATGACGTCAGATTCCCAAAAATAATCTCTTAAGCCATCGAAAATCGACATCGAAATCCGGGCCCAATTTCGTGATCAAAACTCGCTCGATTTTCAATTTCAGAGTCTCTCACTAACGGGCGACTGTCTAAAGGTTACGCGTATTGACCTAGGGTTATCCGAGTCATGACGGTCCTGATCATTGAGAGAATGAGAAATTATCACTAGTCCCAGAGGTCACGATCGTCCGGTTTAAGTTCAGGACTGGTTGGCCACGTGCACTCTCGGTCATGCAGAATCACCTGCGAATCCGATTGTACATCGTTGGCCTTGGCCAAACCAAATCCGTTACCTTTCCTAAGATCGATCCACATTGGTTCATAATATTCTCTCATCATTTCTCGTGATCGGTGTCCGCTTCGCGATCGGATCCTTGGTCCACGTACCGCTTTCTAATTAGCCATACCCTATTGGTTAGTATCCCGAGAGTGATCAGCTCTGGGCGAGACTTACTAAAATGAAATGCGAAATGTTGTCAATTTTATTGATCCCGGAATTACATCGAAATTTGGGCTGTTACACTAGTCACCGGAAAAAGTCGGCCGATGAATATTTGACCGAAGATTAGACCGGTTGGCAAGTTCATGTCTTTAATTTGAGACTTTCTTGGTCACTTCATGCCATTATTTGAACCCCACTTGTACCCCTTATTTGCAATTTTCCCTAACATTAACCATTTGAAAAGATCTTGACATACTTTCCAAAAAACTTTTAGCATTTTGACAGGCCGACTAATTCACAAGATCCATAGAGAGCTTGCCAATGTAAATTTATTCCAATTTCTCGGAAGCAGCACAAATAGTCCATATATGTAATTGAGAAACTGCACACAAAAGCATTATTGGGACACTGATAATAGTTTTACTCTGCTTTCCCAGAACAAGCTTGAATAGAAGCTGCCACCATACTGTCCCTGTCTACTCCGGCGTTGCACATGTTTGCCATGGCTCTTGTGTATTGCATCCCGTACTCGCTCATATGTCCACAATATTGTTTGTAAGCCCTTACCTATACGTCACAACGAACAAATTCGACATGTTCACGAGATATATGAGCTACACACACATGTATTATATGTAGTATGTAGGATCGGAGAAGTAATCGAGGAGGAGATCATGGAGACTAACAAATGCCTTAAGGCAGTCCCAGTCATCAACAACAGGTTGGTCTCCAGTTCGAACATCAGTCAACATGCTTGCAGTACTGGAGTCACCAAACAGTTGGTGGACGATTTGGTTGACAATTTGGTTGATGCTGCGGTCAACATTCGATCGGTGAGCAATTTGTTCGTCCAGTCTCTTCTGTGCGACCACACTCTCAGCAGACCCTTTTGGAGCTTTTTGCACCTACAACCACACAATGTGTCCAATAACAAAAGGCAAGACAGACATAGCAAAAACCACTAGAACAAATAAATTAACGGATAAATTAATATGCAACATAATCAACGGTGATGGAGACGGACCTGGCGTTGGAAAAAGACCAAATCAGCATCCCGTTGGGGAATGGCCAGGGAATTTGAAGAAGAAAGCTCGTCCAAGGAAACGGAAGAGACTTTCTTGGAGTATAGGCCCATGTAAGTGGAGAGGAAGGCCTTGCTGAGAAGTGTGTTCCCATGTTGCATCACATGGGACAGATTGGTCCTCTTCTTCACCACTAAGTATTGCTCCTGTAATGTTTCCTTCCCCAAATCGTGGGCCTCACTGTTCTCACACACCCAAAATCGGATTCACGGAGACAAAAAAGAGAATATAGAAAAACCGCATATAGAGACAGACACACATGCTTATCTTGTTATTTGCTCATTTCTTGCTTTTGCATTTTATGATGGAATGTACACGTACAGTAGAGAAATGACATAACAATACCTGTCCTCCATCCAAGCGATGCTGTAGAGATCTCCCAAACAAGTGTCATACTTGCGATCAACGCCAGGGTGTCCAGGGCAGTAGTAGGCCCAGCTGCTCTCCTCGGCGTTGGACGCGGTGGTCGCATAGATCCCTATGTCGTTGGGGAGCAACCCTTGAAATATGCTTCCCGCCTCACACGCCTCTATGTATATCAACATGTTCATGTACTTCTTCAACTTATGCATTTGCTTCAGCACCTCCATAAAGTCGTTTGCGTATATATAGTCCCCCACAGGCATGCACAGTAGTCCCGTGGTCCCATGGTCGGAGTAATAGAACAAGACGTGGTCGTTCGGGCCGCTCTTCAAAACCTTGCCGCTGCCCCCGCTGAGGGCCGTCTTGTTCCCAAGAAGGACTGCATACAAGTTGGCTGCTGTGGTCTCATTACCAGTGTAATCCTGCAATATTACCCAATTGGTTAATTAAAATCGGAAATCAGTCATGCGAATATGCATTGAACTAAGACCTTGGGAACTCCATGGTAGACATCGGGGCCTTTGGGTTTGTTGATGATGATACCCTTGGTGGGATTAAACGTGCTATTGGCGATGTCGTCGTACATGAAGACGATAATGTTCTCATCTTTCAAGCCATTTGCCTTGAGGATTTGGTAGGCATGGCACACATCAGCCTGCATAGACACACATCACGCAGCTCAATCCATTTCACAATATATATTAGTACGGATGTCCATTATCTATTTTATATACATATGATGATATACTGTAGCTAATGCATAGTTCGGGTGGTGGATCACCTGGTGCCTGTAGTTATAATAACCTTTGGATCCGGCGACTAAAACAGCCCATTGAGTGCCCTTACTAGCACCATAATCACCACCCGACTTCGACACAATTTCTCCGAAGCTCCTCCGGCTATCGCTCACAGCCGCCATCGTCAGTGCTGTGAGGAGGAGGAAAGGAACAAGGCTGCCGTATAAGGAGGTCATCATCATCAAGATGGAGAGTTTGTAGTAGAGAGTGTTTGGAGAAGTCAAATATCTGAGGCCTCGGAGTACGAAAATAAGAACAAAAATATCCGAGGCGTGCAAGGATACAACAGATCTTCCTAGGATAATTTCGCCTCTCAAAGTATGAAACTTGATGTGTCAGGTTCTTAGCATCAACAAATTTTCCTCAATACTCCGCACAGAATACATGGAGAAACCCTGTTAATAAATGGAAAGAAAAGGATAAAAATTCTTATTTTTGCTATGTTTTTATTGTGATTTGGAGTTTCTCTTTATAGGCAAATAAATGAGAGGGTTAATAAAGAAATAAATCAACTCAAATGTTACAAAAATGTTAACAAATTGATTGCGGTCATAATTTCAGTAACAAAACAATTATTTGCTTAAGAAGATCTTTCAAAATTCACTAACCTAGTTTGGTTGTCCTTTGAATATTTCCAAAGAAGATTATTCTTTCCAAATTCACTAGGCTATGTTTGGTTGTTTGAATTTTTAGCCATGATATGATTGGATAATATATAATATGAAATCGATGGATTTTGCTATATCCTATCAATTGTTTGGTGAACCGCACTAAAAAAACTATATATTTTCATATCCTATTATGTTCATTATTTGGTATTGTCGCGACCTAAATTTCTTAGGCTAATGGATTGTTAAGACTAAGCCTAACTCGGGCCCTCCCAAGCCCTACCAATTCGCAACTCAGGGTTTAAGTTTTTAACATGCAAAAGTTTTCATGCTTGGAGTCGCCACTAATCTATTTGTGGTAGGTCGATTAGAAACCTAAATAAAATATAGGGAGATATGTTTTATTCCTACAAACCAGAGATTCTAAGCTTGGGGACTTGATTACGTTAGATCTAGTCTAACGCCCTTTCGGTACTTTTTTTTTTCAAAAAATGTTTATGCGGGCAGTCTGAATCCATTTTATTACCTAATCACTAACATGTGAGGTGTTCATGCGGGTGCGCAAACCACCAATTTAACACCCAAGAAAGCAATAAACAGATTGCAAAATTAGGAAAATGACGTACCTTAATGCAACGCAAGTATCTGCATTGTTAGTAGAAAATCACACAGACAATCCTAATATGATTTCTAATTAACAAAACAAGGCACTCGAGGTGTTCTTTAGGGTTTGCGCTTTATTAAAATGCAAACTAACTTATATGCAATGACGTGCAAAAATGACATGCGATTAATGCAACCTAGCATGCGAACTATATGTCATGCGACGACGTGACCTAATTCTAATGACGGACAAATGATTTATTTTTTGTATTTTTCCAATGAAATTCGAAATTGAAAAATGTCTAAATTAACATGCAATCTATCTTAATCTGTCCTAAAGTAACTCATTCTTTTTGGGATTTTCATGGAAATTCGGAATTTAAAAATAACCTAAATAATCTATTAGGATTAGAATAACACCTAACTTAAACTAGGAAATAAATTATCTTAAGTCCTAATTTAAATTAAATAATTATCCCATCTTCTAGATACATTTAGGGTTCCCTAAACATGCAAAACTTCTAATTTAAATCTAACTAACAAATTTTTGGATTTTCTTTACTTAAAAAGAAAGCAATCAAACAAAGATAACTACATTCAAACAATCCACGCAATCTGCAAGATTCTTCAAATTCAGATAAGGCAAAGAAATCAAACTAACAGTCATATCTATAGGGTTATAGATATCGACGGAAAGCTGATTGTTCGAGTTTGGAAAACGAATAAAATCTATTATCGTATCCAAGTGATAAGATAACGATTTTCCGTATCGCCGCGTATCGTACCTTAGAGATAAGGTCGGATAGTCGTCCAGATACGTTGCCAAATTAGGAATGATTCCTAATTTTGGGTATTTCAAATATTGCGAATATAGCACACATCATCCTAAGGTATCTAGCAATCCACGCACTATTCACGAAATATTCAAACACCCGAAAGATTAGGAAATTGAATATTCTAAGACTATAGATGAGAATCTTACCTAATTTGTGGATATTTCCAAATTTGAATCACCGGCGGATCAGGATTGCGGAACGTATGTTGGCCGACGGCGGTGGACCAGCGGCGATAGCGGTGTCACCCGAAAGATCAGGACTGCTGGACTTGACGATCCTTGATGAACGTCCAAGCAAAAGTTGGGCACGGCAGCGAAGGAAATTGCTGAAAGCGTCTAAAATTCACCCATCATTAAAGAAAAATCACCAGAATCGAATAAAGTGCAACAAGGACGGATAAAGGATGAAGAATGGAGGAAACTTTTCTCTTGTCTTCTTCTGTATGTTTCTTCTTTAGTATGTCTCGCCAAGCAAGTCCAAGTCTCCTCTGTTCCTTTTCTTTTTCGTCCTCTTGTGTCCAAGATTTTAATCTATCCAACCGAGATCACCTGGTGCGATTGGGAAGCTAACAGGTGTGGTGGTGGCAGTGAAGTGCTCACGGTGCAGAGAGGGGTTCCTTGGCGTTGCTGCTACGGGGGTCTAGTCTGGATGGCTTAGACGCGAGCGAGAATTACTGGAGTCGTCGGGATTTGCTTGCTGGACGCCAAAGCAGAGAGTCGCGGTTGTGGTTGGAAACTCAGCGTGTGTCGGGCCGAAGTAGGACGACGCCGTGGCGAGCGCGGCATTGGTGCGAGTAATATGGGCACGGCGACGGGGCACGTTCGGCCGTCTTCTCCTCTCAGTCTCAATCTCACGTTTTGCTCTCACTCACACTTGTGTTCTCTAAAAATTCTAATCTGAAAATTATGAGAGTCCCCCGATTATGACCCATAACGACATATTTATATCGCAACCTAGGTTAATTAACTGGGCTTCCTAGTCCTAATGGGCTTAGACTTAGGCTTTATCATTTAATTTAATTTTAATTTCAAATGGGCTAAATTAATTCGGGCTGATTTAAGCTCAAATTAAAAAAATCAAAGCCTTTTAGACTTGTGAATTTTGACCCCCAATCCCTTGAGTGAGCCGAGTGCTCGAGCTCGGTTTACGCGATGAATTTTTAGCTTTCTCGCCACCGCTGGTCCGATGCGGAATGCAACTAACCTATATGAACTTAAACTATATGCTATGCAATTTTAATATTTTTGTTCAGGGGTTAAAATTTAATCCCTAATTTTCTATGCAAATTATTATTAAATGGTCGGTCGAAATTTAGGTGTCAACAGGTATGAATGATATATCAATGTAAATGAACTTGAAAATGCGCAAATGGAGATGTTAAGAATCTCTCACGATTTACTACTAAAGAAACTACAAATGCATAAACGGAGAAAAACTCCATCAATAAATCTATGATTATTATACTATCTAAATCTTAAACAACAAAGGAGCTCATTGCAGTATTCTATAGATACATATTCGACTTTGACAATGTTGACACCTATTTTTAATTTGCCCAAAATTAATTGCACAAAATTTAGGAGTTAATTTTCTTTAATTCCTAAAACAAAAATATTTCAATTTAAATGCGTTGCATATAGAAATTAGGTACATTTGGACTAATAGAGTCTATTATAGAGTTTAAAAAAAAAAAATCGAGTCGGGCCGGGTCGGAGCTGGGCCGACCCGGCCCATTTCTTTTTTTTCCTTTTTCCCCTCGGGCCCAGCCCCTTTTCCTTTTTCTTTTTTTCCTTTAGCGCGGGCCCGGCCCGCTTTCCTTTTCTTTTCTTCTTTTTCCCCCCCCGCAGCTGGGCCTGGCCCGGCCCAGCCCTTCCTTTCTTCTTCCCCCTCGCCGGTCGCTCTCTCGCCCCTGTTCTCCCCTGCTCGAGACGTCACGCCGACGCACGGCGGCGCCACTCCTCGGCGTCGCTATCCGGCCAGAGCAGGGCCGGGTGAACACGCCGACGGGACTGGCATTAATTGCCAGTCCCGTCCTCCCCGATTTCCCGGCTCCCTTATCCCCTCCTCCTTCCTCTCTGCCTCTGTTTTGAACCGGCCCCCCTGCTCTGCTCTGCACCGGCCTGCAATGGCCACGAAAGTCGCGGGGTGGCGTAGGCCGGTGCAGGCCGTCGTCACGCCGACGCAGAGGAGCAGAGGGGGTCCGTCGTCCGGCTATAAATAGCCAGAGAGTGAGAGAGGCCCGGGTCGGCCAATTTTGAGAAGAAAACAGAGAGTCCGAGAGGGACCCAGAGTGAAACAGAGAAGAGAGAGGAGCCTGGGAGCGTCTCGCAGGTCCCAGCCGGTCTCGCCATCTCCAGCAAGCCGACCGGCAACCCCCGGAAACACCCCCAGTCGGCGATTTAAAAAAAAAAAAAAACAGAGAAAGACAGAACCGAGAGAGGAGAGAGAGAATAGAGAGGGAGAGAGAGTAAACCGAGGCCACGCCGGAGCAAGAAAGACAACCAGCAGCGTCGCTGTCGCCCACGGAGTAGCCGGAAAGCCGCCCTGACGCGTCGTCGACCGGTGAGCTCCCCCCTGGCCGAGAAGCCCCTCTGTATTTCCCTGTTTTTGTGCTCGGTTTGGCCGGGACCTGCGCCGTCCGTTTCGCGCGAGTCCCGGTCCATACCGTCATCCCCCACCGTGCATACATCGTCACCAAAGGTAAGCTAGGCCGCCGGAGCCGACCAGGTCGCCGGAACAGGTCGAAATCTTCCATTTTTGTCTCTGCACGCCAGGTGTTCGACAAAATACCTCAAAGAGGCCGGGTTTGATTCGATCGCCGGCCGGCGAGCAGGCGGTCGGACGGTGACCGAGGCGGGCGGCGAAGCTTGGTGGCAGCTCCCAGGGGCCGGATTCAGGTCGGCGCCGGTCTGGGTCAGCCGGCGGACGGCCAATATTGGCCTCTCCGGCGCCCCCTCCCCGCGGGTCTGTTGATTCGGGTCGGATTCGACCCGAATCAACAGATCCGACCCGGGTCAACTCCCGGGTCGGATCCGTTGACTCGGGTCGATTCCGACCGACCCGGATTAACAGATCCGACCCGGGTCGGATCCGTTGACCCGGGTCGGTTCTGACCCTGCCCGGATCCGCGACCCGACCCGGTTTAATATTATATTATTTTTTTATTTTATTTTATTTTTTTAAAAAAAAATTAAATTTTTTTTTAAATTTTTAAATTTTTTTTTCTTTCTGTATTATATATATTTCGAAAAAAAAAAATTTCAAAAAATTTTAAATTTTTAAAATTTTTTTTATGTGATATATTGTTG